AGACACTGTTAGGATCTGTGGGAAAGTCAAAGATAGCATGAAGCGTGTCAAGTCAGGTCTATGTAATGATTTGAGGCAGAATCGATAAGGGTCATGGATTTACAAAGGAATGTGGCGTCCATCCCCTTTGGGAGGCCTTGCTAGGGCAACAGTGCTTGAGCTGGGTCTTGAAGGAAGGGCAGGACTTCATGGGTGATGAAGAGCGTGGAGCCTGGAAAGGCACGGAGCAACCCAAGGCATTTCTTTTCCCCACCTTGGTTTCCCCAGGCCTTACTTTAGAAGGACTGGCACTTTCACCTCCTATAGAACCACAGGCTTTTGTGAGCAGATGTGGGAGGCAACTTTTCAGCTCCAGAGTCACTGCCTTGGACAAGGTGCCTCAACTCAGCAACAGGACTAATTAACTCCCAAACTTAGGGTGGGGGGGTTGTTTTTTTTAATATGAAACATGAGGATTCCACCCCCCACACACACACCTAAGAAGGGTATGGTGAGAGTTGCTTAAGATCATGTAAAGAGAATCCAGGACATAGTAGTGTGTGAATTCTCGTCTTCTTCCACCCTAGCAAACAACCTCGAACCTCGTTTCTCAGGCGTTTCCCAACTGTACAGCCTTTCTTCATCCTTCCATCAGGATGGCAATTAGCCAATCAGCCTCTACACGAAAAGGAAATATGCTCCTAGACTACTAATGGAAGAAGACAGAAAAGGAACGTGGAGCTTCCTGCTGGGGAATACGGTCCGTAACTGCTGACAGTTAACATGGGGAAGGGGAGGTTAAGTATTAAACCCTGATGTCAGGGGAAAGTATCCACACTGATAGCAATTATATAAACTCTCAATCTCAGTGCCGCCATCAGAACTGGTTCACGTTTTTTATTGCAGACCTTGCTAATTATTCTACCACTGCCTGTTTTATCTGCCCCCCACCCCTAGTTCATGAGCTCGTCAAGGACAGACACTGCCTTTGTCATCTCTGTAGCCCTCATTCCCACCTCAGTGCACGCCCCGCAGCGCACACTATATAATGATCAAAAACTGAAAAAAGTGCAAAAGAAGAAAACCTGTTTATCTTTGGCGTGGTTGCAGAGTAGTAAATTTAGTCATTTGTGTGAACGGTTCTCATTTACAACTGGTTACCACACCTAGCATTAGAAAGTACCTCTACTGAAAACTTAAAATTTGGAGGTCACCGCGCTCTAAACTTTTAATCCTTGCTACTCCTTAAATCTGGCAGAGATTGCCACTCTGGGTTAGGAACAGAGAGTTTCTATACAGAGTACACATACACAGGGGTACGTTTTAGGAATTTGTATCCCAAGCTATCTTACAGGTCCGAATTAAAGGTCTCTTCAGATACCCATTTAAGCAGAAACCCACTGTCCAGAAAGCTACTGCTTATCCCTAAATACATAAAGACAACATCTCTAACCCTTCAGAAACATTCACACCTAGGCTCCCCAATAAATAAAGAGTTACATAAAAAGGTAGAGAAGTGAAACCAAAACCAACCACAAAAAGCTATCTACTAGATGTGCTCAGAATCTGTGTGGGTGAGTTACATGTGTGACATTCCTTAAAATGCTAAGAGGGCAAGAACCATGAACTATGTTCTAGAGTACATAGCTCCATTGTGGAGCCTGGAAAGCATACGCAAAGCAAGAATGTGTCTATTTAGTATCTGTCAAGCAAGCATTTGAAAGCCACACTAAAATACCCCAGTGAGATACGTTAGTTCCTTCAGTTTACAGAGGAGGAATCTTGTCCTCAGCTGGGTGAGGACACAGAATTGGATTCAGCCTGCGAAGCCTTCTCTTGCCTCCTACTAGACACATTCACAGACATTATCTCAGTTATCCTCACCTCCACCCTGCAGGGGAGTTTTACTCTCCCCGTTTTATAGTGGCAGACAAGAAGGCTTTGAAAAGGTAAACCATGGGTGCTTTTCCCCCATCACCTATCACCTAAGTTTGCCTTGGGGAAAGGCAACTTCTTCCCCTCCAAAATGTCCCAGTAATTGAGCACACACTGTAGGACCAAATCAAGATGCTCTGCTACAGGGCTAGCATCACAGAGCGGGAAGGACATGGATTCTAAGGCCAGATGCACGGAGCTGGAATCACCTCGGCACTGTTACTTGCCCAGGAGGGTCACTGGGCACACTCACACACAGTCCCCACTCCTCCAACACCCTATTCCCCCACCCAAAGTCAGTCTCGCCAAAGACTTTTTAAGGGTTCAAGACTTTGCATGTTCAGGAACAGATCATATTCAGAATCCCTGGACCACTTCACAGGACTGGGGAAAAAAATAACCACAGCTTCCCCTGTGCTTAGTTCCTCCCCCAAAGAGCTGCTGAACCTCATCTGGAAACAGCTGGGAGACAGCAGTTAACAGGAAACCAAAAAAAAAAAAAAAAAAAAAAAAAAAAAAAAAAAAAAAAAAAAAAGGCAGCACAGAGTGTACCAGGGAGAGTTAGGCAGCTAGAACCAAGAGGCCAGGGAACAGACAGGAAGCTGAGGTTAGAAAGAGCCTAGGCCAGAAACAGTCTTGCAGGAGAGGAGGCCCCACTGTCCTTCCTCTAGGCCCAAGAAGGAAAAAACCCGGAAAACAGCGGCGAGGGCTGGAGCCCCACAGAAAGGGAAGTCAGACCACCAGTGGTGAGATCAAGTGTGCTTCCCTCCCTACCCCCATCTCAACCCTCCTTCTCTGAGAGCCAGCTAGTGGTCATAATAGGACAGCTGAGGTCAGAAACTCACTTCTGTTCTGCTGCTTTCTGTGCCAGAGGCTACAGCCCAGACAACTGGTTTTGAGTCATTCCTCTGTCAATCTGTATCACGGTTCCACACTGCCAGCTGAACTCAGGGGCAGTCGCATCAGCCTCACACGGAGAGACAAAGAGTATCTTCATGAGAAATTACTAGGCAGATACCCACTCGAGGCTTGCAGCGGCAGGACTTGAGCACAGAGAACTACAGCAAAGCGAGAGAGCCAGCGGGGCTGGAGGTCTTGAAGAGCAAGGTAAGGGTGCATTTGGCAATCAAGAAACTTAATTGAGCAATGGCTAGTTGCCAAAATATTTTTGAAAGAAGTGGGGGAAAAATGCCATTACTAAAATTCTTTGGTGTTATTTAATAATAAGCCTGTGGGTTATCCAAACTGAGGGCAAAGGGAAGTCTGGTTTATTTTTCCTTTAGCAGAGATTAGGTGAGATCTTTCTACCCCATGGCTCCTGCTACATAATCATCCCTTCTCTCCCTGTACACGAAGAAGTTTATATTAAAATAAAGAAAAGGATTAAGTTCTCTTAATAAAACACATTCCTGTCTTTCCCTTATAGTTTTGTTTGAAAAGGCTCTTGTGGTGTATGCTACAATCTAGGTGGGTTTGATTCCAACGAAGTGCTCAAATTTTAAGACTGAGTAAGCAGGGCTAAAAGAGGGCTGCAATCTCAATTCCAATTCCAAAAAAAAAAAAAAAAAGAACATCTTCACGGGCTCAGTGCCAGCTCAAACTGGCAAGACCAGAGAATCAGAGCAGAGCCTAACCAATATGCCACGCAAGGGGGATGGGAGGAGAGCTATGGGTAATGTACTGCAGCCATGTGGCAAACAAACCACCAGGGAAACCTTCAAGAGAGGAAATGGGGGGGGGTTTGTTTCAGGAACATAACAAAGGAACAAGTTGACTAATCATTTATTCCAGTGGGGGAAAATGCCACCCGGAGCCATGTTTTGACTTCAGGTAAATGTGTAATGTTTTAACTTAGATATATCTGGGTTTAAAGGCTCTCCCAAAAAACAACAACAACAACAACAAGGAGTGGGGGGAATGTACCTATTTTTCTTTACGCTGTTTCTGGAGTCTCCAAGAAAACTTTTCCTGTGCCGCCTGCAGAGCAGACCTAAGACAGCCCAAGCCAGTCCAGTTACTAATGCGATCACCCCCACTCAGCAGAGATCCTATCATGAGCTTGGTGCAGGACTGACTGCTCTGCACTGCAGATGGCCCCGAGAAGTTCTGTCGCTGAGGCAGAAGTCGCTGGGCACAAATACCTAACATGCGCACCAAAGAAGGAGGAGAGAGTGGAAAGACAGTTTATCTCATGAGGGCCAGGTATATCTGTGACTTAGAAAAAAGGGATCTCTGCCCAGAGCTGGGTCCACATGTCAGGATGGTGTCTGGAATGCCTGCCCTCAACAATGCCATCTCCATATAGTGTTTCAGGGCTGACCACAGAACCTTCCAACTTGCCAGGAGGGCAGACTGCACCTCCAACAGCTGTGGTTCCAAAAGTCAACCTAGGAAGCACCCAGGCTGGCTGCTAAGGTGGGAGAGGGTGTCCCAATAAAGTGGATGTGAGAAGACCCAGCCTCCCTCTGCTGGGACAGTAAGAAAAGTAAGCTAACATTTACGGAGCATCTACCTACGTGTCAGGCAGTGGGATAAAAGCACTACCTATCTCCTTCCATCCCTAAAATAGCCGATGGAGGCTGATATTACTGTCATCCCCTCTTCATAAAGGAGGAAGCAGGCTCCAGGATTTTACACAACCATTAAAGACTGGAACCAGCACTCAAGCCACCCCTGGACAGGTGCTCCGAACCACTAGTCGATACTGCCGGAAGCACACAAAGCGTTTGGGGGAAAGGGTGGAGAGTCGAGTAACACAAGGTGCAGCCTGTATTTGCAGCTTCTTCGTGTCCAAAATCGGTGGCCTGGGGACACTGGAGGGGAGGGCCTGGATGGAGAACGTGAAGCCGGAAGAACGTAAGCCCTGCTGGCAGGGGAGGAGGCCAGGACACGGACCCCTCTCGCTACCACGGAGGATCCCAGACCCATTAACACTCCCAAAGGGACAAGAGCCAATAGGAATGCGTGCAGCCCCGGGATCCTCGGGCGGTCGGGTCCTCGGGCGGTCGAGCCCTCCGCGCTGGTTTTGTCAAACTAGGAAGCTCCACTCGAGAGGTGGGGCCGGCCCGGGGTCGCCGGGTCCCTACCTGTAGGCCAGAGTCATGCACTCGAAGAGTTTGGTGAGCGAGGCGTCGATGGACAGGTGGCAGGAGCTGGTCTTGCCGAAGCTGTAGGTCTGGCACGTCTGCTTGTTGACCGTGTCGAAATCGTAGCCCTTCTTGGGCGGGTGCTCGCGGTGCGGCGACGACACCATGAAGTGGCCGCTGTGGATGATCTGCTGGCGGCGCGGAGGCTCCTCGCGGCCAGGCCCGGCCCTGGGCGGCGGCGGCGCGG